AATATATAAATACGGAGTCTAAGTGAAAGAAAAATAAAATAAGATAAAATTACAAACACGAGAAAGAAATTAATCCGCTAGCCAACCGATAAGCTATCGGGCTCGGTATCGGGTTAGGAATTAATGGATGGTTATCGGTTGGTGTATTGGCTCCAACATTTTGTGCTCCCTTCTTTCACTTTCACTCACAATTAGATTGATCTCCCATCAAACAAATTAGTTTTTGTAGCCCTACTTAAGCTGGTAATTCAGTAATTGTAAATCACAGTGAGACACATATGAACTAAATTTTGAGGGTGCAAGCACATTAGTATTTAGTTAATAAATATACTTACGGAAAAAATGTAACTACGATAATTTTTAAAAGGTTAACGGTTTATCCTATAAGGAAATTGAGTAATCCGCCCCGCACTGTTAACTATAACATTTTAATCGGTTGACCAACCGTTAATCTGATCGATCAATAAGCCAATTTTGTGATTGGCTTATCGGTTATGGCTCGGTTTTGAAACGCCTTAAGTATACCCCTATAGTTGAGTCAGATTTTCAGTTACACGCCCGACTTTTGAGATGGTCTTATTAGCCTGAACTTTTCCACTTTGTGTAATAACTATGATGCAATTGGACATATAGTTATGCTAAATGCATGGTTCCAGGTAAAATTGATCCAAGGGTTTCGGATTCGAACCTTAAAAATAAAGAAAATCCTGATAGAGAGTGTTTTACCCCAGAGGTGGATGTAGCCTTTTCCTGTTTTGTTGTACTAATAAGTGGATTACTTCAATCAACAACACAATAGATGCTCTCCTCTGTGTGTATGAGTTCGGCCATTTGAAGAAAAAACATGTAACAAACCGAAATCCTCACTATATTAATAAGAGCATTGGAACACTATTACAACTTGCAATAATCAACTACCGAATTACAATGGAAATATTGAAATAACGAGTAATTAAAGATAGAGAGAAGAATGGAGATGAGAAGCTTAGACTCTAGAAGAAGAGGAGAGGACAAACATTTTCTTCAATATGCATCCTCCCTAAATCACTGACCACTACCCCATTTAATGGAACCGTTTTCACGCCCACTCTCGACCCAAATCCCAAATTAGCCTGGACCTGTTGCTTGCTCTAGGCCCAATAGCTCTTGTCAGTCCAATAACTACTTGTGTGACTTTGGTATCCATATCGGGTTGGACTTGGTTCATAACAAAGCATCGGATAATACAGAGTGTTCCTAAGGCTATGATGACACAATCTGCAGGTTCGTGGTATTTTCGAATTCAAAACATTTAAGATTATTTGGATCATTGTTTTCAATGTCTTAATTAAGTCACAGGTTAACAAGTAAATCTTATCATTCTGATAAAATAACACATACAATTATATTGCTATCAAGTCATATATTTTTAAAAGTGGGAAGCCTCAAGTTGCAAAGTTGAATTACCATTTTATCTCTATAGTAAATTAAAATATTATAAAATATCTAATTAATTAAATATTAAATATGCCTAAATTGCTAAGTTGATTCACTTATTGTTAAAATAAAGTAGGAGAATGAAGAGTTGTAAAAATAATTAATTATAAAGTTACGAAAAACTATTAGAGAAACTTTTCGTTTCTCTATCTGATCAGTTTTAGGTGTAATTTTTATCATAATGTGTATTAATACCACACCTCCACTATCTCATCATTAATCTTCACACCTTCATAATGTTCCCACACTCTCAAGAAATTAATGGCATGATTATGATACCTTTTGATTTTACTCAATGATGTCCTATAAATTGTGGTATTTGACACAACAATCTGTACACTTTGAAGAGACTTAGGTACACTTTGGAAGAAATAAAAAAAAAATTGTCTATATTTCTATTGTTTTTATCCTTTAGTATTAATATCACTTTTAGCTTCAGTTCATAACACTGATCACTAATTCTCCTTATATTCGTTTGTTGTTTACAGAAAGGAAATGTGTACAAATTGTTAGATCTTCTAATGGAGTTTACAACGAGAGAAGGGATGTTGAAATCTTCCCGGAGGTTGAAATCAATCTTTAAAAGAACACAAGAGAAGGCATGTTGAAATCTTCCCAGAGGTTGAAATCAATCTTTAAAAGAACAAGTTGGACTTTAAGCAACTTTATTGATAACCATGATCATTTTCATGTTCTATGAAATTACATTATCCCTATATTTGTTATTTCCTTTTTTTTTATTAGATCTGACATTTCAAATCCTTGAATGAATTCTATGTAACGGTTTGTTCATTATGATAATTTATTTTAATATTATGTTGACATTAGATATTATTGTACGAAAATGCTTTGTTTGGGACCTAATGTCGGTGATTTCTTCATACTTAAAGCTTTGAACATCTAGATTTTATATATATATAAAACAATGGTTGTTGCATGACCTACCAATAAAAATAAATTTATTCATGTAATAAAAATCTAAGTTGCAAATAAAAACATTTTAATTTTGGTATTATATTCATGCTTTAGATATGTTATTTTTTATTATGTATAATTATTATTATTTTAAAATTTTTCCTTGTTATCATATTAAATATCATATTTTTTTCCTGTTGTTTTTAACTACGTCATGAGATCAAAAAGAAGAATTATTAAGAAATTGCAATCGAAGTTTGTAATTGAAGATGTTTTGATCTAATATATATACTCAACCGTTAACACAATATACCGCTAGGAGTGTAAATCACATATAGCCAACCGTTTGGTGCAATGTTAATTAATTTTGTTTAGCTTTGGTTGCATGTAATATTATTGTTGGTTTGGCAATTTTCATTTTAAAGAAAATTATTAGCTTGTAGACTTCACAATTTATAATGTGTTTTAGTTTCTATTTGAGGAATGAATTATTGAATAGGCAGTGAGAAAATCGTCTTTCGTGATTTAAGTAGTAAGCTCGGATTCATGATTGAGAAAGGAATTTTTCAAGTGCAATTTGAAATTTTCTACTATTCTTAACATCTCATTATAAAGAATTTTTTAAATATTTTATTTGATTAAATATAGTTCTTACAAAATATAACACGATAATCATGTTTCAATTTTAACATCTATCAGTAGTTCAATACAAACTTTATAAAATAGAAATATAATTAAAAATTAAACTAATCTAACAGTTTCTTAAAATTCATCCTTTAACTATAATTCTCCAAATTAAGAAATCTGCAACCTGAGATGAGAGTTTTAAATAAATTTTACCTTTTTTAAGTGTTGGATCGTCATGACATCATAAAAATATTGAAGGGGTGTCACTCATTAACGATTTAATTTTTGTGAAGTGAAGAAGGGGGTGACAATTTAAACTAATGTGGGATTATCTTATATCTGAGTATACGAGAAATCACATTTTAAATGTCTAAACCACTTATAAATTTGCTATAGATAAAGAAGAGTTTATTCTTATATGCACATGTATATCATTCTTTAATATCAAATTTCTAACAATCCATCATTATATTGAGGGCCTTCAAAAGCAATAATCATTCTATTAAATACTAATATTGAGGGCCTTACATCTCTTCTTCTGTTTTCCACAATACATTTCAAAAAGAGAAACTATTGTATGACCAAGTCAATTGAGAAAAAAAAAAAATGAATAATAAAGACATGATGTTACTCCATTTCATCTTCCATAAGACAAGAAGGGACACTTTAATCAAGCGAAACCAAGTTATATGAATGCAATAAATTTTAGTGCAATTTTTTTACGAAATCTATATAATCATAAAAAGTCAAGATTTTTCATTGAACCAATTATGAGAACAGTTAGGGTACGTTCGGGATAGAGAAACCAATTTTAAGAATGCAATAACTTTTATGGAATTTAATTTATACAATATTCCGAGTTAGTGATTAGTTGTCTCATCTGCTATTTTCAAACTTGTAAGGTACACAATAATTTTCGATCACATTAAGTTAATGAGGGAAAATCCATCAATATTCAATTCCACCTAAGGAAATAAGGGATACGGTAATGTAACTAGCGGACGATGACTTGTAAGCCTTTAAGCCAATTTCCTCAAAGACTAGAGGGGGAAAAGATTATGATAAATCGGGATTGATGAACAATTGAATCACAAAGTTGAAGAAAGAAAAAGTTCATTTTGAGGTCATTAACTATATCTGCAGGGTGTGTTATCCAAGATGATGCGAAATTGGTCCCATTATGTGGAAAATTTTCTGCAGAACTTCTAAAAAATTTCCAATGACGGAAACTATTGCTTGACTAAGTCAAGTGAGGAAAAAAATGAAGAATAATTAAAGACATGATTTAAGTCCTTCATTTCCTCCTTGTGGAATTTTATTTTTGTGCTTTTATTTGGTTTTCATACAAAATTTTGTTTGATATGTGTCTTCCAGCTTAATTAGTATGTTTTGAATAACTTGGTGAAGATCAAAATTTAAGGATGAAGTACCACAAAATTATTAGCCACTTCTGTAGTTTTGAGTATTCTTATTTATCAATTTTCACAAATATAAACTAATTTCAATCATGAACCAAACTCTATATGCTTACTGCACTGTTTTTTCCAATTTTGTTGTATTAATGAGCTATGTTGCTTGGACTCTCCTTAAATATGATGATGTTGCACCCATGTTGGTTCCTTAAGAAATACACAACTTTTGAAGAATCCAACACATACTCGTTGACATTTTTGAAAAATCTAAGTAACATAGCTAATGAGTGGCTGTGTAGATCACTTCTGTCAATTTGAAACAGAAACAAACTAACATAACTTGAATAAACAAAAATAACACACATATAATTATGTTTCTAACATATACAAACAACAAATAGAAAATTAAAAAAGACAAAAACAGAACAGTTCACTAATTAGTCCACAAAATCAAACAAAGACAATTTAGCCCTCTCAATCTTCCATTAAGTCCTTCGTCTCTGAGCTCTCTTCTTTGGCCTTCTTCTTTTGTGAGGCATGAGTCCATCAAAAAATTGCACCAACCATTTTGGATTAACGATATTTAAACATGAGACTCCACATGACAGTTCCAACAACTAGTCCACAGCTGTAGCCTATGACTACAGATTCCCAAGTAAATCCACTAAAAAAATATGACTCGTCTTCTTCTTCGGACTCCAATTGTTGAGGAACATGCGATGAATCACTCGTTCCACATTTCTTTGTTAAAGGAACACCACATAAATCAAGGTTGCCACCATATGAGTCATTTTCAAATGTGTTGAATTGTAGAACTTGAGGAATTGGTCCAACGAGATGATTTTGAGAGACGTTTAAGAAGGCCAGAAAGTTCAATCTTGTCAATTCCTGTGGAATCTTTCCAGTGAGCCGATTCCAGGAGAAATCTAAAGCTTCAAGCATACTCAATTGCCCCAATTCCATTGGTATATGACCTCTGAGATTGTTATGAGATAAATTGAGTAGCCAAAGTGATCTGAGATCCTTTAGTGTTTTCGGAATGACACCTTCAAAATGGTTGCTTGAGAGATCTATGGTTGTCGTAATTGTGCTGATTCTTTCTAGCTCAGTATCGTGCCCTTTGATTACCAAACTCACTGAATCCTCATACGATGTGACAAATGGCGAATACAACACAGAATTCATGTACTTTATCTCTCTTGTGTCTTCGCCATCTGATTTGATCATTGCCTTGAAGTTTCCAAAAACATTTGCAGGAAGTGAGCCACTGAAATCATTACGAGAAAGATCAAAAATTCGCAACTTGGAAAAGCAAAACTTAGTTTGACATATACTTATAGGTCCATGGAATTTGTTCGACTTTAATATAAGGACCTGCAGCTCTTGAAGAATTTCAAGCCAAGATGGAAACGTGTCATTTATAGCATTGTTCCCCACATCAAGTACTTCTAGACCACCACACTTGAGCAACGACACAGGTACAGGTCCTTCAAATTGATTACCATTTATGACAATGGTACTCAACGAAGTGCTGTGTGCACATAATGGGGGAAGACTCCCTGTGAAATTGTTCCTTCTTAAGTCTAGCACCGTTAGACTAGCCATGCTTCCCAAGCAATGTGGAACTGAGTCACTGAAGTTGTTGCGTGATAAATCTAATAAGATAAGCGAGCTCATGTTACAAATGGATAAAGGTAGTGGACCCAGAAGGGAGTTAAATTTCAGATCAAGATACTGTAGATTCATTCCCTCATCAATGGTGATGTTATTTGATGAAATTCCAAGGGTTTCAAGGTTTGTGAGATTCACAAGTGATTGAGGAAAAGAACCACTGAGTTGATTATTGCTTAAATGCAGTTGTTTTAATGTTGGGTTTGTTTTGATCACTTCATCGGCTAGTCCTCTGAATCGGTTATGTTGGAGCGACACTGAATGTAGCAAAGGTAGGCTGAACACCCAAGATGGTATGGTACCATTCAGTGAGTTGTATGACAAATCCACAAAAGTTAGCTTTTGAAGCATGCTTTGGTTGCTAGGCAGTGGGCCAGATAGGGAATTACTCGACAAGTCTAAGGTATGAAGTTGTGTCAAACTTAAAATTGAATCGGGAAATGGACCAGTGAAGCTGTTTTCAGAAAGATCTAAATAATATAGCTCTTTGAGGTTAGAGAAAACATCAGGAATTTCACCTGAAAAGGAGTTGTGAGAAAGATATAAATAACGTAGCTCTTTGAGGTTAGAGAAACCATCAGGAATTTCACCTGAAAAGGAGTTGTCCGAAAGATATAAACGTGTGAGGTGCTTCAATTTAGAGATTGTGGAAGGAATATGGCCAGTGAAATGATTATGAGATAAAATCAACTTCGTAATTTGTGTTAGGTTTCCTATGGAATCAGGAATGGAACCAGAGAATTGACATCTATAGAGGATCAAGATATTCAAGGATTTTAAGGTGCCAATTGAATCAGGAATGGAACCAGAGATGCCTGTGTATGATATATCCAACTCCGTTAAGGAAGAAGAAATATTCGGAGATGAGATGTTGACTTGATAGAGAGAAAGTATCTCCAGATTTGTGAAGTTCTGAAACATTGCTTCAAATGTTCTCTCATCAAGTTGTAATTCATTACCATAAGAAGAAGAAAGATGAAGTGAAACCAAATTGGAAAGGTATGAAATTTCTGTTGGGATTTTCCCATCAAAGTCAGCGAGTATCAGATTCCTCAAATTCCTCAATCGGCCAATGCCATATGGGATCGAAGAAGGATTAAAGAAATTGTTAACAAGGTTTAGTGTGTGGAGATGATGAAGCTGGAAGAGGCTGCTATTGGGATGAATACTTACAGGTATCGGTGATGAGATGTTGACATAAGAGAGAGAAAGTAACTCCAGATTTGTGAAGTTGTGAAGCATTGTTTCAAATGTTCTCTCATCAAGTTCTAATCCATAACCAGAAAGATCAAGTGAAACCAAATTAGAAAGGTATGGGATTTCTGTTGGGATTTTCCCTTGAAAGTGAGAGAGTTTTAGATGCCTCAAATTCCTCAATCAGCCAATGTTATGTGGGATTGAAGAAGGATAAAAGTAATTGCCAGCAAGGTTTAGTGTGTGGAGATGATGAAGCTGGAAGAGGCTGCTATTGGGATGAATACTTACAGGTATCGGTGATGTGATGTCGCCAAGAGAGAGTAACTCCAGATTTGTAAAGTTGTGAAGCATTGTTTCAAATGTTCTCTCATCAAGTTCTAATCCATAACCAGAAAGATCAAGTGAAACCAAATTAGAAAGGTATGAGATTTCTGTTGGGATTTTCCCATCAAAGCCAGAGAGTTTTAGATGCCTCAAATTCCTCAATCGGCCAATGATTTTATGTGGGATTGAAGTCATTGTAAGCAAGGTTTAGTGCCTGGAGATGATGGAGTTGGAAGAAAAGTGCCAAAAAGCAGACTACAACTAAGGTCTAACCCGATAACATGACCGTTTAATAAGTCACAAGTGACTCCATCCCAACTGCAGCAATCCCTACTCTCATTCCAAGACTTTGTTTTTGGGAAACAATCTTCATAACACTCATAACTACAGTACTCTTCGGACATATTTTGAAAGGATTGCTTAAACTGAAGCAAAGCAGAAGCTTCAGTGGGAGAGCAAAGATGATGATCAAAGGAAGAAGAAAAGCATTCACTTATTAGCAACACAAAACACAGAAATGAATAAAAGAAAAAGAAACGTCCCATTTTTTGTTTGTTTGTTTTCAGCAAATAACAGGATGTTTGTTCTCTTCTTACAAATCAATCAGCATTATCCTCATATATATATACTAGTTTCAGTTGTCCTACATAAATTTTTTCTAGATGTTGAGGTCATTAACTATCTCTGCAGGGTGTGTTACGCAAGATGATGCGAAATTGGTCCCATTATGTGGAAAATTTTCTGCAGAACTTCTAAGAAATTTCCAATGACGGAAACTATTGCTCGACTAAGTCAAGTGAGGAAAAAAATGAACAATAATACCGTGTGGAATTTTATTATTTTTCTTTTTTTTGCTTTTTATTCAAAATTTTGTTTGATATGTGTCTTAATTTTCTGCATAATTAGCATGTTTTGAATAACTTGGTGAAGATCATTTTATGAGAAATTTCCAAGACTTTTCATATTTAGTTAATGAGGGAAACTCCATCTATATGATACAGTTCAAACATGACGAGATGGAGAATAACCAAAGTAGTAGAGAGGCTGTTTTCATAGACCACTACAAGAAAATTGTGAATTACATTGAGATTTTTTTGGAGATTATTAATGAAAATTCGCAGGAAAATATGTTTCCTACGGATTTTCCTATCAAAAAGAATCCGAACGTAAAACCTTCGTAGGTAATTATTTCCTGTGAATTTCAAAATCCCCAAGTAATTTACTTAGGGATTTAAATTTCGCAGGTAAATAACTTGCGATTTTTCTTGCAAAAAACACCAAAAATATCCCAAATTTTTTCCAATTTATTCGCAAGTAAATCCGC